AAACTGTTTCAGTGGAGCCAAGGATAAATAAAGTGCCCCAGCCTTACAAAAGTAAAGCACCATTGATAGCATCACTGTCACAAGAACTCGCTGGTCGTTGTGATGGAAATTATAAGCGTTTCAGTTTATTGGATGTCAAAAGCAAAAGATAAGATAGTTGTCTGAATAATCCCCGAAGAACTGATGCACTCATGTGATAAAGACGACAAGCGGTAATGAAAAAAACTTGGGACAAAATGCTTTTCTATTTTCTGCAGGCCCAAAAAGAAGTGGTCGGCCAAAAATAGCTGCAAATCGTGAAAAATTTGTTAATAGTACGGAAGACCAACTCTGCAGTTCAAGCAACGGCCTCCTCCATCGTATTTTCCATGACCGTCAAGGCTTGCATGTGTTCTATCAAGCTCTTCTTCATAAACGCATTCCTCACTATGTCCATGGCAATTACAAGCTGAAAGTAAGTTTTTAATAAAGAGCGCAGCCAATGAGATTATGCGTTTTGTGCAATTCCGTTCACCGACCGGTTGCCTGTTAATGATTTTCACTGCTTTGCACTTTGTACTGTGCAAAATAGTTGAAATGTTGTCTGGTTCCTAAGCTGCGAAATTCCCCACTAAAAATTTCACGCAAACGAGATAATAGTTTCTCCATCAACATTTTCACGGGGCTGTATGTGGTACCTAGGTGTGCGTGAAGGCTAAATCCAAATTTGCGAGGTCGTACGCTGGTAGAGGAGATCACCCTAAAATTTCAGATTCCCAAATTCCCCGGTCTCCAAGATAATAATTTTTCCCACCGAAATTTCATGGGGCCGTAAGTGATACTCGGACGCGCGGAAAGGCTGAATTTAAAATAACAGGATTGTATGTGGATAGAAGACATCATCGTAAAATTTCAGCTTCCTGGCTTTTATGATTCCCGAAATAGTAGTTTTCCGTCAAAATTTTTACGAGGTCGTAGATGATACCCGCTAGCGTGGGAAGGCTGAATTTAAATTTGACAGAAGTCATACGTGGGCAGGGGACATATCCATAAAGTTTCAGCTTCCTAGATTTGTGGTTCCCAAGATAATAATTAACTCGCCAAAAGATTCACGAGGCCATATATGTTACCCACGGGCACGGAAAGGTTGAATTTGAATATGCAAGGTCCAGCGTGGGCAAGGGGGTAATTACCCTAAAATTTCAGCTTCCTAGATTTCGCGGTTCCCGAGATAATAATTCACTCGCTAAAACTTTTACGGGGTCGTTCGTGCTACCCACGGGCAGGAGAAGGCTGAATTTAAATTTCCTGGGTCGCATGTGGGCAAGGGACATGCTCACAAAATTTCAGCCTTCTGGCTTCCGTGGTTCCCGTGATAACAGTTTTATTTGCCCGAACTTTTACGGAGTCGTATGTGTTACCCGCGGGTACGGAGAGGCTGAATTTAAATTTGCGGGGTCACATGTGCGTGGGGACATCGCCCTAGATTTTCAGCTTTCCAGCTTTTGTGGTTTCCGAGTTGAAAGTTGCGGATAAGTTGCTACGGACACGCACACACACACGCACACACGCACGCACGCACACACACACACACACACACAGACAACCCGGTAACAATATGCATTTTGTACTGTTGTTACACAGCACAAAACGCATAAAAATTACCGGTCGAAAAAATCCGCCTCCTTCAAGCATCAAAAGTGCTAACATTCCTTCTTTCCTGATAATTGGGATTTTGTAGCTAGCCGAGCCGATTAATGTGACAGCAAAAGCGGCTGCTGACCCTTGGCTGAACGAACCAGTGCCAAACAAAAGCGACTGCTGAACCTCGCAGAAAGCACTGTAAGGGCACTTGCACCTCCACAGAGCAACCACTGACTGGCGATGCTGTCGATAGCTTCTTCTTCCAAGGACTGCTAGGAAGCAAGCTAATGTCGATTTTAACTTCCTGGCAATATGCCAGTGCTAAAGTACCATAAAAGTGAATAAACAAATAGTAGAGGGGATAACTGCCCCATCGGTGAAGCAGAACTTTCGATCCTCCTGCAATATAGTAGCGCTATCTGCTACTGCCTCTTAGGATAAATAGCGGCGTGCACTAGGGCAGCGGGTGCGACCAAGCGTTTTGTGCAGTTTTGTCCAGCAGACGTCTCTTGTTAAGAATTTTCACTGTTTTACACTTTGGTCTGTGCAGAAATAATCGATATGTTGTCTGTCTCTTAAGCTAAGAAATTTTCCACTAAAAACTTTACGTATTGGTATGCGAAAAGTAAACGTACGTGAAAGCTAGATTTGAAACCTCGGACGGAAAACATCCTTCCAAAATTTCAAGCCTCTAGTTTTCTGTCTTCCAAGTGACTTTTGCGCGAAATTTTCACTCGGTCTATGTAAGGCCTCGACATACTTGGAGGCTAAATTTAAGTTTGTGAGGCCTCTGCATAGGTAGAAAACATCCTATTAAAATTCCCAGTCTTCTAGCTCTTCTTACTACCGAGATAATAATTTTTTCCACCAAAACTTTTACTGGGACGTTGGGAATTTGTGGAGTCGTACGTAGGCAGGGGAAGCTATGCTAAAATTTCAGCCTCCTAGCTCATATGGATCCCGACTTGATTGTGCGGGACAAAATGCACTTGAATACACACACACACACACAGGAGCGTGACAATACACATTTTGTGCTGCTATTACACGATGCAAAACGCATAAAAGTGGTATCTTTTCAGTGAAATTTACGTTCGCAAACGAATTCGGCGCCTTCCTTGCTACGCTGCCACTTTTTCTGCTCATATCCAGGACAACAACTTTCACAGTGATCTCCACACGTATTATGCTCGCATCTGCAAAAACGAATTAGCGGGCAAGTCTAACGGGACCTTGGTATATTTGAGAACTTATTGATTCGCAGTGGTATGATTCTTTACCAATTTCTGCACCGTTGGATTTGTAAAAATTATTGCATTTTAGCCTTTCATATTTAGCTGTAATTACTGAAACAGCTGAAACTTAATGATCTGAAATGTCAGAACATTTTCAAATTTATGCTTGCCTCTAAATTATTTAACTAAATGTGACTTTACATCACATCTTTCTAAGCTATTAATCAATTTCAAAAATATATCGAGATGTCGGAAAAAAGCAACACACCTGCACAGGAGTATGTTGGAACGCCGTACGTCAAGGATATCGCAACTGTCAGCGTGACCGTTGCAAACGCATCGGCCGCCCATAAAAATTTCCTTGATTGCATAAAAATACTGCAAAGTGGTTCTTTGCATAACTGGTTCGTACAAACCTGTCCGGTGACTTGGCTCAAAGAATTTTTTACTGCCGAAGATTTTTTGGCATCTATGCCTCGTTGCAGTAGTCGCTCCGAAATAAAAAGTTAAATACCAAAACTAAAAGTTAAATACCAACTTTTCATAATTCACTCTCAGAGAAGTACGAAGGCATTCGGAAGTAGCCTGAGCTGTGGAACGTGCCAGCAGCAACCACTTGCCTACAGATCTATCCGGCAGTTGCTTAGAAGCAAGCTAATGGCGATTTTAACTTGTGGTTTATGCTAGCACTAATTTACCATCGAATCAAACGAATCGCAGTTAAACTTCTGACGTTTGGCGTAGGAGCAACGCTGCTGACTGGTACATCACGCTTTCTAGTAAGCAATTTTGATATTTCGTACAGTTACAGACGAAAAGTGATTCGGGATCAGAAAAATCAGTCGATGTGGATGCTGGAATTTAACAAACTTACTCGTCTCGTAACAGTAGGGTCCCGCCGATTCACATCCATCAAATGACCATGTAATGTTTTGGTACGCAATAGGCGAAGCCGTACATTGGTTGCTCGAGTGAAATTTTGCAATACCTCAGAGTGGCTAAAATTGTGCTTACCTGGACGATTCTCCAATAGATTTATCATTATCTGCAAATATTTCTTCCATAAATTAGTAAAAAATAAAAACGATGTTCTCCAGAAAGAATATTTATTTTTGCACATTTTTATCCAACAGATGTTTTTTGTTAAGGAGATAGCAGAATCTGAAATCCTTAGCATAACGAAAAAACAGAACATCCGTGTGAAATTCTAGCTTACTGTCTTGTATGATTTCCGAAAACGTTACCCAGCTAAAGAATTTACATTTGTTTTTTTTTAGTGCATGTAAGTGACAGCCAAGCGTGCATGAAAGATAATTTTAAAATGGGAGGATCGGGATGGGAACACGTTCCAAAATTTGAGCATTCAATTTTT